CCCAATAAAAGTTCAAGGAACGATAGTGAAGTTTTATGACGTAACTTCAGACATTTCCGGTGACTTCTCTTTTATTTGAGCGCTGGAATTGTGACTTGGAAAGGCGAGAGATCGTTAAATGAGCGCAATTGCAGCCAGCGAACAGGATGACCGCCACTTAATTTGACCGAGATAAGGAACTTGCAAAATATTCTCGCTCGTAATTTGCATAAGCAAATATTTTACATTGGCGCGAATGGCGATGCTTTGCTAGAAACTTACATATTTTGTAGCTACAAAGTATTGAGGTTTTAGAAACATGTTTTCCGCAGCTGCGCTGAAAATTTAAATGAGCCCTATTGTCCCTATTTAAATAGGTAATAGTAAAGTGAAGATAAAACTGTCAATTTTACTATATATGTTACTAGTGACTATACAATTTCGAATATTATTTCATAGAATGTTTGTAGCAAAGTTATCGTGGGTATCTGGAAGACTTATTCCTCATATTGCGATGACTTTCCATGAGCTGAAACACTATCAGTTCTTCTTGCTTCTCCGATATAATCTATTTAGCCGAGAAATATTATCCTATAAGCAATAAGGTATACTATATAATGAGCTTCATCTTCAGCTAAAAATTTTAATGTTCCCGAAATTTAATGAAATGGAACTGAAGAATAAACAATTTCTACGCCTCATCTGCTCACGAAAATTTTTTGCATCTGCCTCCTGGTATCTCTTGATCATATTTTTGCGCATTTAAGTCAAATTTATAAGTCTGATTAACTTTTCTGTTGAGCAACATTTTAGTTTAGGACTAAATACCAACCATGTTAGCGCCATCGTATTGCTAATATAGCAATATCATATACATACAATCGTACAATATATAGATGTACAATATATAGATGTACATAATATGAAATAGCAATATCTGATATAGCAATATATAGATACATACACAATGAATTTGAGCGCGAACGAAAAATATTTTATTAAAGGTACGTAAGAAGTAAATACAATATTTTCTCAGATTACATCTTACGTCAAATTTAATTTCGAGATTTATTGAGTCAATTAAAGTTTGCATCTCAATATATCGAACGCCGTGATTGCATCTCGAATGCCTCAGGGCCTCCAGCTGTTTCAGTAGACCTCCAAACATTGCGTTCAATATTTACCAATCTGTATCATAGGTGGATGAGAATTCCATGCATGAAAATCGATGAAACAATCTGAATGTGTGCATTGTTGTGTACCTCATGAAAACCGTTATCTCAGTAACGTTTGTTAATAAGTTACAGTAGTTATTTCTGAAATAGACTAAAATATATTTCTCTGTTATTTTATTTTACCATTATCATAAAGCTGAAGAATCCGTCACACGAATTAAATTCCTTTGCTCTAATGCTTCAATATCAATGGCGAATATTTTATGAAATTCATTTATAAATTATGATGAAAATGAACTAAATTGAAAACAAAAATCTTGAGGAATATTGCAATCGTATTACTTCAAAATATTTTATATTATCTTAATGCAATCACATTATGTAGCAGCAGGCTCATACTGCTGCTACAGGCAATTGCAATTTTAGCGTCAGATAGCCATCGGTGTCCAGATATGGGATCTCGAAAATTAAATTTACCCCTCCGACGAGGTGGTAAGTTTACATGAAAATATTTATTACAATTTATACACTCACGGTGAATAAGACCACTCAGATCATACAAGCAAGGAAGGTCTTTATTTTTACAAAGTGCCTGGGTGTATTATTATAACTAATATTTCCCCCTCAATATTGGACGATCCCTAATACAGAAAATATTGAGTTATTTAATTGAGATAATATTGTGTTATGTTGTGTATTAATGGCCTGGTTTTACTTTTATAAAGCATTGATTACGTTTCATTCAATATTTGCATAATTATATCTATAGCTTATCTAGAATCATCAGAAAAAAATGTCAACTTCTAAGTTGAGCACAATTACAAGAGGCAATTCAGGAGTTTATAGAGACCCACTAGCTAGTTATTCTGGCGTTGAAAAAATAGATAGCTTTTACAATTTTAGAATCAAAATAGGAAAAATATGACAAAACTATTTTGCGTCTTATAAATTACGGTTGAGGGAATAAATCGTGCAACAATTAATAAATATTGAGTACTCTAATATAATTCAGCTTTCCCGGTCTAGGTTTTTCGACTTTACATGGGAGTAAAATAAAATAAATTAAGTGACGTGAGGCATTTATATTAATTAAAACGCTATATGAATAAAGAACTCGGGCACTAATAGTTATATCCCACCCATCTGGTGGACAAGAATGGGCCTTTTATGTTACCAAGGCAAACGTAAATGAGTACAAAATAATAAAAAATAACAGTCGACAACACATAATTTTGGCAAACATTGACGCAGTTATACTGAGCAATAACTCTCGGGCTACTACATAATTTTTCTATTAAATTTACTCCTCCGTCGAGGTGGAAAATTTACATGAAAATATTTATTACAATTTATACACTCACAGTGAATAATACTACTCAGATCATACAAGCAAGGAAGGACTTAATTTTTACAAAGTACTTGGGTGTATTATTATAACTAATATTTCCCCCTCAATATTTGACGATCCCTAATACAGAAAATATTGAGTTATTTAATTGAGATAATATTGTGTTACGTTGTGTATTAATGGCCCGGTTTTACTTTTATAAAGCATTGATTCCGTTTCATTCAATATATGCATAATTATATCTATAGCCGATCAAGAATCATCAGAAAAAAATGTCAACTTCTAAGTTGAGCACAATTACAAGAGGCAATTCAGGACTTTAAAGAGACCCACTAGCTAGTTATCCTGGCGTTGAAAGAATAGATAGCTTTTACAATTTTAGAATCAAAATAGGAAAAATATGACAAAATTATTTTGCGTCTTCTAAATTACGGTTGAGGGAATAAATCGTGCAGCAATTAATAGATATTGAGTAGTCTTTCATAATTCAGCTTTCCCGGGCTAGGATTTGCGACTTTACATGGGAGTAAAATAAAATAAATTAAGTGACGTGAGGCATGTATATTAATTAAAACGCTATATGAATAAATAACTCGGGCACTAATCGCTATATCCCACACATCTGGTGGACAAGAATGGGCCTTCTATGTTACCAAGGCAAGCGTAAATGAATAATAATAAAAATAACAGTCGACAACACATAATTTTGGCAAACATTGACGCAGTTATACTGAGCAAAAACTATCGGGCTACCACATAATTTTTCTATTTTCGAATTTCTGATGAAAATTTTATCCTCCCTATTTTCCATGCATTAATTTCTATGCATTTGCTAAACAAAAAATTTTCTGGTCCTGGTAATATCACGCAACGAAAAGTATCGTGGATATGCGCTCAAAATACCCCTATATATATTTTTTCGACTTCAGGCTTTAAAAAACAAACAAACACATACAAACTTGAAAAATGTTCATAATATTATTCGTTTTCGAATGGTACAAAACTCGGTGCAAACAATGGGATTATGGATACGCGTTCCTCAAGCCTCTGTTGCTGTCAAACTGCTGGGACCTCCAAAGAGACTCCGACGCGGGCAGACCCCAACAAATATAAATTGCTTCCATATAAGAGACGCGCGCAGAATATTTCCCGGCTCACTTAGACGGTGAATCCCATCCAATGGAATTTTTATGGCCAAAAATATTGGAAATCCGCGCGATCTCTTGGCATTCAGTTTCTATAAAACCTACTGAACTTATTGTTAGGGGCGAGCGTTTCCATTCAGTCATTCGTCGCCAAAATTGGGATAGGTACTGGTATAGCCAAAAAGTACTGGGATCGCCAAAATTGTACTTTTCGTGACAATTTTTTGTGATGCACAATAATGTACGAGAAAATTTGCACTAGCTCTGCCTGGCAGTTGGTATAAATTTTGCTTCAGAGATAGATTGATTAATTATTATTGATTTAGTGATTCACTATAATGAAATAATCAAGAACCTGGAGGTTGATCAACGAAACTTGAAAGCGTTGTTCACAAGCAAGCGCGATCTCTTTCGTGATTTTATTGATAATTAAAATACCATAGACCAGGCTAAGCTTTGCTTCAATCGGTTACCTGTACCTTGTCTACTCCGTCTCAATAAAGTAGACCAAGTCTTTTTAATGGCCTCTTTGTTAGATTCAATGAAAGTTTGATCGCATTTTCTTCATTCATTCTTTGTTTATTTTCCCTGTGCAATTTTTACATGTTTAATTATTAGGAAATTTCTTCTCCAGCAGGAACTTCCCAAGAATTCGGTAGCAGTCGTCCTCAATTCTACACTTCTCCCTCAGCGAAGCAAGGCAATGATTTCCCACCAGATTTGAGCCTCACTAAAGAGGCGACAAGCCAATCCAATATCATTAGTAAGTCATCTCATCTTTCAGCCACAATCGCCGATTCCTCTATCGGAGAACAACGAACGTCCAATGCATCCGATTCGGAGAACAATATATTTCCAGACCGACCTAATAATTATCGAGCTACAGGCACTCGGGAGTTCATAGAAAGAGGCAAGTTGACACGGTCCGTTAGAGAGATGCGACGTAAAAAACATGACTGCTTTCTGTCAAATCTCTTAGCTGCAGAATATCAAAGAATGAACGTCAGTGACCTCATTATTGCTAATTTGGCTCCCGCTTCCCGTCGATGCAAGAATTTATTGCTACAAGACAAGCCGGAACCTCGTGAACAAAGCAGATTGCAAACAAACGGAAATTCTAAAAAGCTGAATCTCGGTGATTTCGAGGGTGCTCATGTTTCGCTGAATCAGGGAGGACGATATATGCCGGGAGTTGAAAATTTGAATACCGATGGTGATCGTGAAGCAGGTGATCGTGAAGCAGGTGATCGCGAAGCAGGTAATCGTGATGCAGGTGATCATGGAGCAGGTGATCGTGAAGCAAGTAATCGTGAAGCAGGTGATCGTGAAGCAGGTGATCGTGAAGCAGGTGATCGCGAGCCAGGTGATTATAAGGCAAGCTCTTATCAAACAAAACCGAGATCAATGAAAAATTTAAGATTTGACCCTCCAAATGAAAATGATTTCTCGATACATAGCAAACATCCTAATTTTCGACACACCATCGGGCTTTTATATTCTCAATTCTGTTATTTATCCCGCGATATCAGCTCCAGCAGCCCTAAACATACATACATCGATGGGAACAACAGCCACAACCTTCACTATCAGACCTCATCGCCGACTAACGATTATTTCGCGTCCAGAAAACCGATAAAGAACGCGACTTCTCAACGGAAACTGCGTAGGTCTCGGCATGCCAATTCCAAAGATGACTTTGGCGCAACCTCCCTCTCTCCGAAGGCAGCGCGCTTATTCGTCGGAATGGCCGCGCATGTTAACGAAGGGAAGAAGTCTCAATTTGCAGCATACCAGAGAGAACCAAGTGCATTCCTAGGAGGTTCATATCACTCCGTGCACGCTTTTCGGCATGGCCACGCGCCTAGCAATTTTGTAAGCGAGTATCGCCCCGTTGGTATTCATGATCTGAACTCAAGTGATGTCCGAGCGCCGAACCAAGAAGCATCGTTGCCGTTGGTTTGGGCGGAGGAGCCCCAAGCGCAGCTACTCTTCAGCAACGACACCGGCGCGGTCCTGAACTGCGCGGCTCGCGCGCCCGGCGGCTACCCGCCTACAGTGGCGTGGTCAACGCAGGATGGGCGACCTTTTCTGCCGGTGAGTTACTTCAGAGATCATACTTTTTTAAGATTTGTGCCTCATGTTTCGTAATACTATTATTCTTTATTGTAAAAAGGAAATAAAATTATAACACAAAGAAGAAGGTAAATTCTACAAATATTCTCAATAGAGAATAAATATTTGCTGCCATTAATAAAACTGGCAGGTAGGACGCTGCTCATTTCGGTGCAAGACTTGAAATATTAAGGAACAAACTTCATCTGCAGTAATTTGCACTGACATTTAAAAATGTAATTAATGCAATGTTTTTATTGTAATATTCACTTGCTGTCAACAATTGAACTGTAGCCGATGTTACAGCGAAGACCTGCATGAGTTTCACTTCTATAAAATCTTATTGCTATTAAACAACGTTAATCTTCGTTTTATTTGTTCATGCACGTTTCAATCGACTGAAAATAGAAGCAATACATTTCTTCTCGATCGATTGAACTAACGAGTAACTTTATTTATATCTTTTCGTTGTTCATATCAATTAAGTCAACAAGAAGCTCTTTAGAAAATAAAATTCATTTTATTTTAGTAGGATATGGTCAAATTCTATTATGCTCCACCAACTGAGCAGATCCCAATCGGTTGAAGCTATGGTGGCCCGATTAGCGCCGGCATTCTCCCCGCGTACTATCAGAACTTGTGTAGTATTTATACATGTGTATAAATATACGTAATGGCCGATTTCTCGTCTATGATAAGGGGTTTTAGCTTGAAAACCTGCCAGTGATTGGCAGACCTCGTAACAATCTATTAATTAACAATTTATTTTTATATTACGCTCTCAAGACTCTAGACTGTGAATTTAATATTTTATTACCACGCGTATGAGTCGGTCAAGCGAGTGCTGTCTGTGAGTCTTAGGCACGTGTGAAAATCTCAAAGGAAAAGGTGATGAATTTGATGTGCTACATGTACGGGGCCCAAGATTTATGTCGAGCTCTTTGAGGGTTGAGGGGAAAATTCGAATGTGAAGTTTAGTAAAATCGAGAATTTTCTGTTCTGTAAATTTAATTTCCATGTGAGACATAGCTGAGTATTTCCACAATCTTTCTAAGTCGCGTTTTCAAAGTGAAATGATATTTTAGTGCCGCTAGATATGAGGAAACAGTAGCTGTTTATGCTCAAAAGATAAGAGTGTTTAGATATTGATCTCCTTCCATAATCTCCGCGCACTGTAGCTTGTTATTTGATGCAGTAAATACATTTGCTCTATTAGGAAAATTTTCGGTGACTTCCACAGGTCCCTGGTTTGGTGGAGCAGCTCAGCAACGGAAGTCTATGGTTCCTGCCGTTCCCGGGCCATCGCTTTGACGCCAGCCTTCACCGCGTCATCATTTCTTGTACCGTCGCTTGCGACCGTGGGGCGCTCATATCGCGGCCCTCCGCCGTCACTGCGGGTCAGTAATGGGAAGATTATCCCGTGGGACGCTCATATCGCGGCCCTCCACCGTCACTGCGGGTCGATCAGCAGCAATGGGAAGATTATCCCTTGAGGCGCTAATATCGCGGCTCGCGGCCCACGCCGTCACTGCAGTTCAGTAATGTGAAGATCATCCAATACTTATTTATTCTCGTAGCTTTGCGTTGAGGGAATCTACTTAACGTCTCTCCGAACAAGCGACTTTTAATTGTCTATTTTCATTTGAGAAAAATTTGCCTGCCAAATGATCAACTGACAATCTCCATTACGCTGCATTGAACTGACAGTTGCATTGCACTGTATTGTTCAACCAACAGTCTGTATTGCACTATATTGACCAACTGACAGTGTCAGTACACTGTATTGAACAGCTGACAATCTGCAGTTCACTGTACTAGCGCGCTTATCACTACCAATATTTTTTGATTAACAAACATAGGTTAAGCTTGCGCTGTGACATTTTTGCAATTGCTTAAGGGAATGTCGCAAAAGTGTATATAGTATATTATACTATGCGGGACTATTTATCGAGAAAAAAAATATTTAGCCTTTAAAATGTGAGGATGAGATTAGAAGAGATGAAATTTTGTACAAAGCAGCAGCAGTAGTATAGGTACAAGCATACGAGGTACCAGCAGACGTATCGAGTGGTCGTGGCCGGCGACAAAATAAGCAGTTTCAGTACTGAACGATGTAACTGTTGATAGTGTTGACAGGTGACTACTATAGGTGCAGGCATACGACCAGGTGGTCGTGCTGTTTAGGAAAAGCGTGCAACAATTAATAATTTGAGACGTTGAGCGGCCAAGACAGGCTCAGCATCACCGATTTAAAAGGCGTAACAATTTTTGACATAATTAAAGAAGATGAATGGAAAAACCGGTGTAATAATTCAGTAAATAAACAAGTTGAGATAATTAGAATATTGATCGAAGACACGTCACGTGATCTATCAACGTAGACAAAAAATTTATAAAGTACAAATTAATATAAGGCCGTAGCACAATTCAATGCAGATCAAGTCAGGACGCAAGTTCAAGTATCGAGCAGCTGCTGACGGGGCTGGTGCTGAAATTGAACCAGCCGGCCAACTGAAAGTATCTTTGCAAATTTTAGGGGAAAACGTCGAAGAAATGAAGTAGCAAAAGATAAATCCCTCCCACCTGGGAAGCAAGAAATACGCCGTTATTCGACGACGAACTAATCTTAAAGATAAATATACAACTGATTTCATTTAATGAACAATGTATCATATACAATACATAAAGAATATGGTATCGGTGACCCGCGCACCAGTAATTTGACGGACACCTCCCGGGGACAAGTAAAATACCGTGCCGCAGCAAGCTTACAGACTGTGACTGTGACTCACACCCCTGTCATACTAACACTACGTGACATCGTTAACATAAATATTTGCATAAAGATGTGCTTTGGAACCAAAAGCATTGAATAAAAAATACTCGACTGTTACAGTGCCTGGCAACAAATTAAGCAAGTTCAGTACTATGAGGTGTTCCGTCACTGTTGTTGTTGGGGTTACCGGTCTCCGTTATACAAGAGACCCCCTCGCGAAGGCACGACACCACCGACAGTGGGTCGCTCCAGAGCTGAAGGGTCGAGGTTATGTGGTGGTGAAGAAGAAGGATGTTAGTGATTGTGTGGGGAGCTCCCTGGCAGGATGGACAGGTGTCTGATTCTGCTTGGCCCATTCTGTTTGCGTATGTCTGTTGTGAAGGGTGGTGGCCGGGCCGCAGCGCAGCCTGGCTAGGTGTACTCTATCCAGTCTTGAGAGCTTGGTTTCTGTGCTGCTTGTCAGGTGGTGGGTGCCCAATTGGACTTTGTTGTTGCCGGCCAGCTCCAGCGTTCTAAGTGTCATAATTGTATGTAAGTGTTTTTGGTGCTGGTGTTGCCTTGGGGTGGGGGTACTGTGTTTAGTATGTTGGTGTAATATCTCTGTGGGGTTGGCATAATTTGTCTGTGCGTAGGTGGGTGGTCGTGCAGGTAGCGGCATGGGTGTTCTGTGTTGTTCATGGCTGCAGTTAGGAACTATACTTCTCTCATGCCGAGGTGTGCTTTTATGGGAAGTATTTTTGTTTCGGCATGAAGGTGTTCAATGTGGGTGCTTTGTGTGCAAGTGACTGTGACTAACACCCTCGTCACACTAACACTACGTGACTAACACCCCCGTCATTGTTGACAGTGGTGATGGGGGACTACGAGGTGCAGGCATACGACCAGGTCGTCGTGGCCGGCAACATCGCCGTGTTCACGTGCCACGTGCCACCTGAGCTGCACGACATCCTGGTCGTCACGTCGTGGCTCGTCGACGGCAGCGTCGAGATCTTCCCGTCTCTCTACGGCGGTGAGGTTCTTTCTGTTTTTAACTCTTTTTCTTTACCCTTCACCATTTCATGATTTCGTACAATTCTTGATGCTTCAGAAATTTGTTATGGTGATTTAAAGGTATCCGTGGACAATATTTTGTTTAAGGGCTTTGAATATCAGCATCGCGTTTTCAAATTCATACACATTGACAATTGAATCTGTTCCCGCTTTACTTTCCTAAAATGTTCACGTCAGTGGGCATCAAAGTTGTATCGCTTACGTTACTATACATGCGTTTTGATGCATTTCAAATTCAGCCCTGGTATTTTGTATTCCTAGTATCACACGTCACTACAAAATTCCCCATACTGCGTGATTTCGTATCGCTCCTTCGGCCCCCGGGGCGCGCCCCTTCTCAACCATAATTAGGCGTGCAGTCATCAACTTCCCAGACACTAATAAGGTCTCACAAATGGAACCCAGGTGAAGAAAGCGCCTTTTCTCAGCCACTTGCCTCTCCAAAGAAACCTACTTAAGTGGTTTTTAATTAGCAGCTCGATTGTTATGGTGATGACAGCGCACAAGTGAGGCTACGAACTGAACTTTATAAAGACCAGAAGACTCTCCACTCCCTCATGCAAACTATATTTTGCATAAGCACTTTAGCTCGGCCATATGCAGGCGTTAATGCCTCGACTTCCGACTCCTCGACGCCTTTTGGAATCGGTTTGACATTACCTAAACTTCTTCCTGCTTCCTATTTTTTTAGTGAGCTTAATTTTACGTGAAAATGTTAATATATAATGTACACAGATTTTTCTGATTTTTAGGACAATGGCTTGAAGCGAAAAAAAAACTAGTATGAGTTGTTCATTATTGAACTTGTATGAAAGCCAGGAGAGGTTATAAATGCTCAACTAGGTAGATGCAGAATCTAATCACTTCATTAATTGTGTACTTGCTCCCCACTTCTTCCAGATCACATTCCAGTTCAAAAAACACTCGCATATATACCCTCTAGCTCATTTTCTCCAGACATTTTAGTACTGCTAGACAAAGTACGGCGACACGGCGACGGAATTTCGGCATTTTCAGGACCATTTTGGTCACATGGCCCCTCAAATTTCATGCTCTATCGGCGCATAACACAATCACAGAGAGACTGCAATCCTCACGGCGAAGTCTTGCTAGGGAAATAATATATTGGAGCTGAAGGCTCACGTTGAGTTGTATGTTTTTTAAGGTAATTTCCTGTTGTGCGGCCATGACTTATTGCGAAGCAGGTACTGCTGACGGGGACAAATAGAGCTTACGTGCGTTTTTGCGGCCAATTCCTTGCTTCTCCCTGTGATTCCTGGCTCATATCGCTCACGATCGTTGTCGTATGGCTAGTGTGACACGTGATATTTGTGTATATATATATATATATATGCAATAACATTTATAAATGTAGCCTCTAACTATACAAGTCTATAGCCCGCGTACCAAAAATTGGAATCGTTCTCAAAATTTTCAGCTAATTAAGTAATAAAGTAAAGTGCTGGAAGAAAAAGTTAAAGTTTCGTTTGATCAGAAACTCGCATGGATCGTCTGTGTAGAGATCAGCTAATAAATCAGCGCCATGTTTGTTCAACACACGCTGACTCATCTCGCACTCTTAAAAATACTGCATCGGTAATGCGTCCATCATAAACAATGAAGTAAAAGTTAAACGATCGAACAAATACCCATTCTAATTTTTGCGCGTAATATCTTCATGCATCGAATATTTTAATCCCTGCTGCCTGATACCGGAGAAAAAACTTATCCTGTGATTGGTTTTCTACTTTTATTTCTTCTTTTTAACCTAATTATATGTCATTTTTTTAAATATTGCAGAAGATTTCATGTTTAGAGTAAACCCCAACGCTGTGAGACTAATTTTTTGAAATTCTATATACAATTTATCGTAATCTGCAATATCATTCAGGATTTTCAAAAAAATAAATCAAAAAATAAATCAAATCAATTAAGCTTTCTACTAGCAAAGGAATCGTTAAAAGTTTTCATTACGATTGGCCCGCTCTCATATAGGAAATAATGGTCGATCAGCCGGAGCACTCCTGTGGATTGCGATTGCAGGTGCATACCGACAATCTTGATGGTTGCTGCAATAATGGACGTTCCGCGGATCAATCTGGGGTACAGCAGCTTCTGGGTACTGTACATTTAGGTGATGAATTTGGTAAATTTAGCTGAAACAAGTTCCAAGAATTTTGGCGGTTATAACCCTGCACATGCAGAGAGAGATACCCGCGTCTTCACTATTTGTATGTGATGCGCGATTGATTTTAACCGAATATTACTCATCAGTCAATTATAATATGCGAGTGTGGATTGAATTCCCTCGAAAAGCATATTAAATAATACGGGTTCCATCGGAAGAACAGGTTTGTTTTACTTTGAAGAATTTGTTTTGAACTGAAAAGATTTGAAGAGTTCTGTAGTGCTTGCACTATATCGATTTGTTGTTTATTCATTAATTTACTTATGTCAGATGGTCCTTGTGTGATTATTAACAACTTATGAATTGAATAGTTGAATTTAATAGCTGCTGTATATAGAAAATCTTACACTCATCATGCACACGTTATATGAATTGTTTTTCACATCAGATTTTTCTTTTCAATGCTCCGAGGGATGAAATACGAATACGGTAATGTTTCACTCAAATCGATGTTTCCTATTTAGTCTAGACTACGAAGAGACAAAGTTTACAATTCAGGCAAAGCGATAGTTTCCATTTTCGGATACCTCTGGCGATCGATAACTAACTAACTTATTCCTTTCGTGACTGACGGGACTTCTAGGTCACAAACCACTAGGTACGAATAACATTGTCTACTGGAAATGTATCAGTGGCGAAACGATTAAAGTAATACCTACTTCATTAGCCTTCATTCAGTCGATCATCGAATGATGTAAGGAATGCTCATCAAAAGGCGTCCCAATAACTGTAAATGGCTTAACTTCTTAATTGCGGTAATTTTTGTATCAAATTAACTCGAATGAACTGGCGGAATGCGACCATTTCCGTATACTACTTAATTTGACCAGCTTTTGATGAAAAAATGTCTTGTATTGACACGTCCTAATGGGGGCTTCGACACGCGTCTCGCAGTATGTTGAACATTCAAATAAATTGTGATCACAAATGATTACTATTATAGTATTATTATAGTAATGATTATTACAATTTTAGATAATAGGATTTTAAAAACTGCTATTTTAAAAATTTTAATCGTCGTGTTTTCTCGTGCACGGTCGACTCACCGTGATCGCGTCATCCGTGCTTACTTGCCGCTGGTCGTCAACCAAGTCGAACCTTCAGTTTAAGATTTCATGTTATCATTTGTGGCCTCTTGAAGACTATTACAACTTATAAGCGCTGTATATCATTATGATATCGCTTGAACATATTAGGCACCTATTATTATATTGCCGGAGAATACGAAGGAGTAATAATTGTTATATTGCTTGAAACTATGGACTCCTTCTCTGTTATACGTGAGTAGAAGTGGCTGCTGGCCACTTTATAATCTGAAATTTTTAAATCCATTCAATTCGCTTGGAGCTCACAAGTGTGTGGGAGTTTCGAACTTCCATTAGCAGTCGCAACTCAGTGCGACGGCTTAGCAGCTAAACCTCCCCGACCATCTTAAGGGAGATGCAAAATTGAATCTTTGTGCCGAAGGGATATGTCAGAATATATTTTTGTGCCGAAAGCACATGCTAAAATGGATATTTTTACCATTAGATTTAATATGCATGAATAAATCTTTGTACCGATGAACTCAAGGTATAATTGAAGGACTGATTTTTATTATCTGAATTGCCTGAAAATTTACCCAGAATTATCTATAATATTGAATTGAAGAAGATAATTTAAAGATGAAGAATTGCATCAAAACTTGAATTATGTCAGGATATGTATGGGTTCCATTTATAGATTTAGTGAATAAAAGTTGTTATCCTTTAGCGAACATGAGTTTCGTTTCCTCCAGCGAACTTTGACACGTTTTAAAAGTCTTTTCTAACACTGAACAGTTAGGAACTTGCATCGCGCTTGTCTTCCATCATGTGCACCGTCGTTCAAATCAGTGTACCCTGTGAAATTTTTTGCATTTTTGAATAAGATTTTAATGTAACAATAGTGGAAAGGGAAACTTCTTCAGTTCTGATATACTAAGTTTTCAAACATGCCGAGATTTGTTCATAAAGGTTGCAATCGTCCATAAAATTATTCGCAAGGATCAGTTTGGAAGCGCTTGGTAAATGTTATAAATTCGATAATTAATTGATTTTATGACCAAACGTGAGCAATCACTTGTAGAACAACAATAAAAATAGATTCATGACTAACGGCCTGAATAATTAATTATTATATGTCTTGCGTCCAATGTTAAGTCTGCTACTTTCGTCAATTACTTTCCTCGACTTGAATACAAACTTGGTCGGTTGAGCACCCTCAGTCACAAGCTGCTGGGCCGTTGAAGTTAGGATGCAAGTTTTAAGTGATGTAACTTCCAGGCACCGCCGCACCGGATGAGGACCTGCATTATTCCAGGTACTAAGGAGTGCATAGTGGGCTCAGTTTAACAAATTTTGTAAATCGTGAGGAAAAATTACTTGAGCACCTGGTCTCAGTGAATCCCTTGTTAGTCGTATGGACCTGCCGCTTTGCACCCTAGATTACTCAAAGAATTAGCAACCATCCATGCCAGCCCATTGACAGAATTTTTCCGAAAACCTTGAGCAAAGGGATTTTGCCGGGCTGATTGGAAAGAAGCTCCAGTAACACCATTGTTCAAGAAAGGCGTCAAGAGTACCCCAGCAACTATCCCCATGCCAGTCTACCAAGTGACAAGTGTTGGCGAGGTAATGGAATCTGTTCTAGGGACTGTCAACCATCTCCTATCCGACTGTTAATATGGCTTTCTTGTCGGTAGATCTTGCAACACTAACCTCTTGTCTCGATGCAGTTTACCTCTAATTCGCGTTCGACGGTCCAATTCCTTGAAAATGGAGAGAAATGATCTCCAATGGATCAG